ACAACAGTTTTTCGAAGTTCGATATAGAACACAGTAACCTCCTAAAGCGCGCTTATGACACTCAAGGCCAAAACGTCCAATGCGACTTTTTTAAACACCATTCACCGACATTTATTTTCACAACTAAGATCCATAAGAGTATAAATTATTTTTTAATTTAATCATTTTAACTTCCTGTTGTTTAAACGAATGCCAGTTTATAGCAAAAATGTGATATTTGGCATTTCAAATTTTATTAGCTTCTGCCGAGGCATTCACTATTATTGAATACTGCTGAAGTGCATTGACTTTAATGTTAATTTATAATTCACCTGCTTTATCGAATACAGGGACTAAGGGTATCATTTGCGTGTGTACTATGTTAATAACAGGAGCTGCCATATATAGGCTACCAACGCAAAATTAATCGAATAGAAAGGATCAGTTTAAACCATCCTGCATCAGTTTTGCTACGCATAATTCCTATGTGTAGAAGAATTAGTCTCCCATAAAACAATCCCTATTTGGAAATATACACTTATTTACGAATACAAGCACGTGTCTTGCTTCGCCAATAGATATTACATGAGTGGACGTACAAGGAGCAGAAGATCAGCGAAAACGTAACACACATGGTTATGGGAGTCGGAGAGAAGACTCATATGAATGATTAATGTGTCTAAAATGAGAAATTTAGTCAATCATTTGCATTCTAGCCTATTAACAAACTTTAACATTGTCACATATTGCAAGTCTATGAATAATTTTCCAAAATAATGACTCGAATAGTTAATAGAAGTATACATTATTCAAATGTGAGAATTGAGTATATTACTAATGGTAAGTATCTTGATTACGATCATTCTCGAATAAATTGGGAGAACCCGAAATAGTCTCTGTTCAAATAAGTGCAAAGACCACTCACTTTCTTCAATTAGTCGGCTAGATCATTGGCAGCATAAAGTAGATTGACTACATTGGTTGCGACATAATGCGTAATAATTGAGAAATCAAAAAATAATCAATTGCAAATAAAATATGAAATATTCAAATCAAAAATGTTGTGATATTTAGATATTTCATTACACTTAGCATTTGCAATGTTGGATTTGATCTAGCTAATACCAAAAAGCATTCACCCCAGCTGAAATATATAATGCCATTTAGTAGGCACTTTTGATAGAAACTCGGCACTCCTTTTGTGGAGTTGGGAGTTGGCGTTAATTCACTCGTGTGTTCAGCTTCAGTTATTATCATCAGCAATAATATTACATGCAAATGACCACAATCAATGGTTAAATCAATTCAATATGTGGACTGTCCATATGAATTTCATTTATTTCTTCCATTTCTACAGAGTTTCAACATAGAATAATGACAGAGTTGTCTTTAAAATATCCTCAAATCCCTCAAATTCAAATGACCAAGGCATTGATGTTATGCATCGTATAGTACGTACTTTGGTGAATCCATTGACGAAATTTCTTGAAAAAAAGAAATGAAAAGGTATATATGAAGAAAGTTTCTTAATAACGTTTTTGAAGAAATTTTACTTAATAGCCATTATTAATTAGATTAAATGCATTAAGTCAGAAAATCAGGTTAAGACGTGGAGATATATATGTATATATTCCAATTTATTTCCTGCCGTCAAACTGAAAGTGATAGAATTTAGAGATTGCAATATATAATATGGATTTTTATATGTTCATGAAAATAGGCAAAATGCGTATTTGCATGACTTTGAAGTAACTAATATATAGTAATTAACATGTCATCATTTTAAAAATAATACAATTTAGCAGTACTAAAAAGCTTATATTTGTTTAACTCGTTTTAAATTTGACGGAACTGTCGAAATTTTGTGGTATACTTATGTCCAGCAGCACTCTCCTTCGGGCCATTCTCAGGGAGTTGCGTCAGACTTCTACTTCACCTCAGGTATATAGCTGCCATTTCCTGTTTACTTATTTATACCATTAGACGAATGCGTTCTCTAAGTATGTCATTTCTCAGTTTCGTCAGAATGAACATACTACCGAGCAAAGTTGTTCGCCTATGCACGAAAGCATACTTTTGGCAGATACATATTTAAATCTTCTCCAAAGCGTCGCAAGACACCAAGTAAATTTTATGCGTTTCGTTAACTCTGTGCACAGTCCATTTGATTTGTATGATCATATCGACCCATTTTAGGAACTTGTGAATACTTATAAGTGCCGCGAAAAGACAACTTCAGAGGCTGCTAACTTGGTTGGACTCTCCCTCCCTAAAACCTACAGTGATCAATAGTTGACCCATGTAGTTCATATTTTGTATGTAATTAAATAGTGTGAAAATATGTGCATTTTGTTTCAAGCAGGATTTTTCTTGGTCTTACTGCTACTGACTAATTATTTTAAGGTATTATAAAACTGAGCACAAGTTCGAATTGATGCTCCCCCAATATGGGCCTGCGCTCCAATTGATGATGTTTACGCTATGCGTGTTTGGTGAAACATACGCACCTATTGGTATGTACAAAGCAGATCCATCGGTTCCCTTCTGGGATCTAATTAACGAATAAATTTTGGGATCGGTAATGAAATCGAATCGAGATAATACCCTACACGTCCCATTATCTATAGAGCGCTGTAAAACGATCGTCTACAAACACAATCTATGGATAGCTAAACAATCGAAAATGAAAACACATATACCAATCAAGATGAGATAATAATGAAACTAAATTGCTCGACCTCCATCAGATAAAAGACAGTCTCAAAACCTGGGACTGTGTAAAATTGCGTCCTAACTTCTCATTAAAGCCATTAATGCCATTTTTACTGCTACACTAAGTGCACGTAGCCTCTCATGTATTTGAACATCACACACAGGAACTGTGCGAGTTTGCGCGAAATGTCACAAGGATTAAACCCACTTTTGTCACATACCTGCAAGAAGTAGAAAAGGATGGCGATCACAATAGGAATAGTGGTGAGGAAAGACCACTATGACACATTACATACATAACCAAACAGAACGCACTCATAAAACGCAAGTTTTTTTGTAATATTTCTGCCAACTGGGAAGGGAGCGTGAGGAAAGAGGATAGGGAAGATAAGGAAGCTGATAGGATAAAGTTTAGTCGTTATATGAAGTTGTTATTCTTTCCTCGGATTATTACGGTAAGAGAAAAGACTGTGCGCGAGGGTTTATAGGGATGCAGTTAGGTCTATGGTACAGGTAACTCAGACACAGAAGAAACGGATAGAGGGTGTAGAAGGGAGCGAGTGGAGTAGAATGAGATTCCTCAATGTTTGATATGAGTGGCCATGTTTATCTCGAAAAGGATTTCTTAGAGACCAACTCTGAAAAAAAAACAACCGAGTTGTGATAGTTAAAAAGATTAATTCATAACATGTAAATAAAAATAAGAGTGGAAATCTTACCACCACCATACTACATCGTAGAACGAGCAAAACCACTCTGACGACCAGAATTCACACCAAGGTACTGGTACTTGGATTTCTTTTCAGAGGGTTTGAGAATCTTTATTCGGAAAGAAGTACGTTAGCCAATATTTACAAATGATTGTTGACTTTGCCGAAAAAAGCTACTCATTATGCATCACTTATTCACGTTGACTATTCTGATTTGAAGGAAATTGAATATTGAGGCTCGTCGTTTGCTACTAATAATGCTTAAGGGTTGAATACTAAAATTAGTTTGACAGAGAGAACCGATATAGACAAGTGCATTAACTGACGTACTGCAGGTCTGATTTAATTTGTCCTAGCTGCCTATACCTTCAGTAGCCATAGAGCGATGGATGTCAACTCCCGACCTTCCGAACTCGTGAAGCTAGAAATGAACGATTTCATAACGATATGAAAATAAGCCAACAATTGAGAAAACCGTGACCACTTCAATTACCCACAATTCATCAAATATAATTTTCATACCAACAAAATCAACGACAATTTCTGGTAAGCATTGTAAAATTTCATAATTTATGCAATATTTGCGCCCGCATTTCAAAAAGAAACAAATCACAACGATTTAGACCGAAAAATTATTGCTTTTTACTAGTATCACAATCTATAGAGAGCAAATGCTGACAAATAAATCTGGAATTCCCATTGTTGAATGACACGTTTCCATTAGATGCTTATCAATGGAGCAAAAAACCCGAAATCGACTTTATGAACTGTAATTTTGTATTAAAATCGTACTTCCATTTCTATTCAAACTTTGTTCACTTCAATTCCCAATTACTAATCATTCTCAAATGCTATTCGGAAAAAAAGTTTGCAGCAAGCACTAATTAGGCCCATAAGTTTTATAAGAGGGTATCTCAAAAGATAATCCGATTTAGACCTCAAAGTACTAAGAATAAGGATAATAAGTCTTGCTTATCATTGTACCAATGATTAGCATTTGTAGTTAATAAGAACCTATATACCTTTCTGATAATTCAGAAAGTTGGGTTCAACTTTGAACTAAAAGGCACTCAAGCATAAAGTTTCAATACAAACGAGTTTGGTATAATGCATATTAGTTCGTCAGTTATATGAACAAAATAATTCAAGCCAGTAGTCATATCGAGATATCGGGGTCTGACATTTTTGGCCACCTGTCTCCTTTTATGGCTCAGTTGATTTGTTTACTATGCTAATTACTATAGCGCCAAAAACAATACAAATAAAAAGAAATGGCAGTTTAAATAAATGATATCAAAGTAATTTAATAGAAAAAGAAATGCTAAATACAGGTTTGACAATATCAATGGCACCGGGGTGTGCGATAGACTTACCTCCACGTGGTACACCCTGGGCAACGTGTACTCATGCGGCAAGTCTATTAACCGGCAGTTGACTTCTGAGTTCAAGCTATCGTGACCCCACTGTATGTCATATTCGACGACTTCCACAGTACTCACCTCACCTTTTTCACTCTACATTTGTGTCTATCTCTTTTACATCTTTGAAACACTCATCTGCTCCCTCCCCCCCCCCCCCCCCCCACTTTCGATTTTTTCCATTTGATGTGCCTCTCCCTCTGTGAAGCCTGAAGTCAACTAAAGGGCTAATGATAATTATCATAAAGCCTGCCATTTGATATTAATAATTATATCAATGGCACCACACATTTCACTAAAATCCAAGAATTTTCTGCGGAAAAAGGCTAATTTTGTAACAAAAAACGTAAAATAAGTGGAAAATAGCAAAACCAAAAGCACCAAATGAAACTGTTATTTTCTAGAAAATCAACTAACCTGGAAGGAGCACATGAGCGTCTCATCGACAGACATCATACCACCAGCATTGTCAAACTCGCCGCAGTAGTTCGGAGCTGAGAAGAGAGTGACAAGACGACGCTGAGCAAAGAACTCATATCCGTCCTCCACCACTTGATGGGCTCGACAAATTAGGTCAAGGTCGTGACGGTGCAGGAATTTCTCCACCACATCCACGCCAAAAACAAAACTGACACCTCTATCGTTCTCACCCCAACCGCGAGTCTCTTTGTCAGGGTCGGCCCAAAGAATATCACAGAGAAGACCTACACAAACGGACGAGCAAATATTAAATTTAATGAGTCAGTTGAAATGATAAAATTGGGAGAGCTGAAAGAAAAAGAGAAATCCCGTTTGACAAAATAATCGTGCAAGCCTGTAAATATGCTCAGCAAATTAATAAACCGACCAAAATATATAAAACGAAACGAGTGTCTTTTCACATATCAAGAAATCGGTACACAACTGGCGAGCATAGAGGAGAGGAAATAAACGATCTCCCTGAAGATGGAGCTCAAATATCTCGGAGCATCGATAAAGAATTAGCATGACCGCTAGAAGCCTAGGGTTAAAATGGAAATAGAACGAAGCATATTTTATTAACCTCATACTACAAATGATGTTTTGAATTAATTGATATTCGGAAGATATTTAGGGAGAATAACCAACAAAACCAGTGAGAGTAGTACGGTGAAGGAGAATAATAGATATCTTACAAAAATTTAAAAAGGTAAAACGTAAAATCTATTAAGGACTCCATTTGCACAATTATTTACCTTTTAAAATACACAAATTAAACATTAATACGCATGCTTATAAATTGATAATAGACAAGAGAAAAAGATATCAGACAAGGTCAATGCTATTAATGGCAGAACGTTGGACATGTAAAACTGTAATGAAATTTTTAACACTCAAAAATCAATTATATTTAAATTTTACAATACAAACAAGCCGCCATCAAAGCAGAAAAAAGTAGACAGGTTCGCAATTATGCATATCACATTAAAAAGTGAGAGGCAAGGAGACAAAAAACATGACACGTACAAGTTACTAATAATTTCTATCAAAATATGAGCCGTTAGGAAAGAATTAATTAGAATCAATGAGAATGAAATTCTTGTTATGGTGTGTGCGATAGACTTACCTCCACGTGGTGCACCCTGGGCAACGTATATTCATACGGCAAAAGTCTATTAACTGGCCGTTGACTTCTAACTTCAAACTACCCTCACCCCATTGTATGCCATACTCGACTACTTCCATAGTACTCACCTCACCTTTTTCTACTTTCGTGTCTGTCTCTTTTACATCTTTGAAACTACTCTGTTCCCCCTCTCCATCTCGACTTTTTGACCTTGATGTTCCTTCTTCTCTGCAAAGCATGAAGTCAACTGAAGGGCTAATGATAACAATCAAAACGCCTGCCATTTGATAAAAATAAATTAATATTCTTGTTATAATTCTAAGCCTTCAAAACTTGTCGAAATGCACTTACGTTTAAGTTAATGAGTGAAGCACATCCAATATATGCACAATTAAGTAGCTACATAAAGAAACTACGTATCAGCAAATTAAAATAGTCAATATTGGAAATGAAAAAAGAACTTTAAGGAAATTGTAAAAGTTGGCACTCAAAAAGGCTTTTAACAAATAAGAATAACGATGTAAAATCTAAGGTTCAAAATAGAATAAGGTTAATAAATCAGAAAAGATAAGCATAAATTCTAGGAAAAAAAAACAATTGTATTTATTGATTAAGAATATACGCACGAAAATAAAATCAAAACTTGCATTCGGCTCTAAACTGAACAAAGAGAAAGAATTGACTACACTTCACAGAAGACTAAAAGCAATAAATGAATTTAAACCATTTAAAAATCACTAAAACAAATATTCGAATGCAGGGTAATTAACATGACTCCAATAAGACTCTAATTCGCACGTATTGGAAGAGTGCAAAAAAGAACCAATTATATAACAGCTGCGAAACGCTCTAAGCAGAGATTGGCGCAAAAAAGGAAAGAATCAGCCAATTCATGAATACCCACCAGTGTCTGGAACATCAGTTGGTCGAAGAACTCGACGAATCTGTTCCATTGTCTGAAGATCTGGTGATAAACCTACAAAAAATTCGAATAAAAGCTTGAATAAAGGGGAACAAAGAGGATTGACTTATAATCAACTTACCACCATGACAACAGAAAATTTTTTCATCAACGATGGCAGCAACAGGCAAACAATTAAAACAATCTGTAAAAGTCTTCCAGAGTTTAATATTATATCTTCGTTTACCTAAAAAAATAACCGTTCAAATATTCATTAAAGATATTAAGGAAAGCCATATCGCAAATGCCAAACCCACATTCATCGTAAAAACCATAGATTCTGTTAATAGAAGCACACTCGTGATTACCACGAAGAAGGAAAAAGTTTTCAGGATACTTAATCTTGTAGGCAAGAAGAAGACAAATCGTCTCCAAACTCTGCTTTCCTCTGTCCACGTAATCACCCAGGAATAGATAATTTGCTTCTGGAGGAAATCCACCGTACTCAAAAAGCCGCATCAAGTCAGTGTATTGTCCGTGTATGTCACCTAGAATTAGTGAAAAATGGACACCAAATCGCAAAAAAGTACAACACCCAAAAACAACGGAGAAGAGGGAAATTAATAACAAAGCCATTGGAAAGAACTGTTACCGCAAATTTTAAGTGGTGCCTCTAATTCCAAAAGTATTGGTTGAGATAAGAATATCTCCCTGGACTTTGCGCATAGTGCCTTGATATCATCTTCCTTTAGATTAACGGTGGTTCCCACTCGAGAACCTCGAACTACAAAAAAATTAAGCAAGCCCAAAACAAGGCATACCTTCAAGTAAAGAATTAATAATCTCATCCACGTTTAGTTCCGCCTCCCCAGCCATAATGCAAAATATGATCAAAACCTAACTATAAACTGTTAAAAATAGCGTAGGGTTAAAACTACTTGATACATTTAAACAAGTTATAATTTTTAAAAATGCTTGTTAAATGTATTATGTTAGCTGATTCTTTATACTAAAATAAAATATAAATATTTTATTTTGTTTGCATGGTTTAATCGATTGTAGTTCTAAAGGTAAACATTAATATTTTTTGCCCATGAATTTTGCTTTATTGAGGTTAAACATAACTTTAGTCCAGATATTTATCAGCTTGCTCTATTTTTAATAGTAAGTTACATAACATATATTACATAACTATAAACCACTCAGTGCATATTTTGCACATATTATGCCCTAATAATTAGTCACAATGACATTTTTAACTTTATATTTATTTTAGAGATAATTTTCGGCAAAGAAATTTGTTTAGACACTTTGATACTCTTCATAGCCGTTTTATAGTTTGCGTGTAATATTAGCTGACATTGTATCTAAGGGGAAAGTAGATGGATGACATGGATGGGTGTGTTTGTAAAAATACAAAGACAGTCCGTCAAGCATAATTCAGATAAATACAAAATTATTAGGTCTAATAATGGTGCGATTTGGTCATTCTTCTGATGTCCACCGAGAGCGATAGAAATTGGTACCACTAGCCAAACTAAGCTCTCAGTTCAACTTCCCCACTGATTGAATTTCTGCCACTTTCAGCACGATTATGACTTACCGAGTGGCAATGCGTGAATATTTGCTGAGAGTTACCTAACTGGCTCTCTCCCCACCTACGACTAACCTGAGATTGTACTTTCTAGTCACTCCAGTTCTAACGAAAACAATTATTCAATGCTCCACAATCATCGAATCTCGCGTTTTCCTACCTCTTTAGGCCTATATTTTCTAGGTTGTGAAAGTCAAAAGCTGAAATCTAAGTTGAACTAACTGACACTCGTAAAGAAGAAATTCAAATATCTGATCTACACGGCATGTAAAGCAAAGTAAATTAATTCAGGATTGAGTAGGTAGAATGTCACAAAACAGGCACAGAGAGAAATCAGAGGTTGTTCAACTTCACAAATTCCGATTTACAGAGAAAAAGAGTCCTTTCTGAATATAGGGGTTCAAAATAAAGGACAATATTAATAACAAAATAAAGGGATTAGAATTTGAGTGTAGTGTTAGCTGTATGTGAAATCGCAAAATCGGAGATGCGTTGAAGGAAGTGTGGATATTCTCGACGGGCCATAGTACGTACTACAGTGGCAGGAGCCCAACCACCGGGATTGATCTGCGAAGCATAGAGCAGACGACAGCAAACAGAATCCCGAGTCACTCCCGCAGCTTCCCATCGAGCTTGCTGTTCTTCTGAGGAGAGGGATTGCAGCTTTTCGGCGTCTGGAAGGGTCGTCATATCAAAATCGGAACTAGGAGGTCGCCAGAGGGTCTGACAGAACATTTCCACGTCCACTTCAAGTCGAATGAAGGAGGGAGTTTTGGCCGAAGGTGGAAGACGGTCTTCACCGTACTTTGTGGAGTAATTGACTACCATCCAAGTATCGAGGATAATTTGTCCTTCTGAGGTAACAGACTCATCCTGGCGAAATTGATACTTATCAAGGCGACGCATGTGTGACCAGAACAACGAGTCTCTTTGAGTAGCTGGCCAAATGCGCTTGTAAGCCTATACGATGAAGAAAATAAAAATAAGCTAAAACGTATACAGATATTAAATATGGCCAATTTTTAGAAAGTTAGGTGAGGAAGACGTGCATTTAGTATGTCTCCTGAATTATGAGAAAAAATTAAACATAGAACCCAAATAATCACATAACGTAGATGGTTTATTGTTCTGGTAAAAATTATCGGCTTATAAACGCTTTTGATGATCCTGTAATATCCTGTTTCTACTCTTCTAGAAGTCATTTGTGCTAGAAGTGGGCTAACGCGTCTTCTAAGGGCTGAAAAGAAACACATCCATAGAAAGCCGAACTGTGAGCTCATGGCCACTTACTCGACCAGGCGCGCTACTGCACTTGGTGGGAACGAGGCAAAAGACTACTTCCTCACGCAATTTGTAATCTTTATGCTTCTTGGTCTTTTAAATTTTCTTGAATATCTTGAAAATTGCGTCTAAGGAAGGTTCAATTTAGACCAGGCTTCAAACAGCAACAACTTTTCATTCACAAGATTTTCGGTGGTCCATCGATTTGACAAGACCTAAAATACCTTAGTCTGTCTATAGGTCTGTCAAAACAAGGCGAAATGAACACCCTCAAACACAGTCTTATTGCAATTTTTGTTCTTTTGACTTTGAGGCTATGCTATAAGCTAATGTTTCAAAATACGACTAAACTATTTTGAATAACAAAGAGTTCCACAGATTAACGGCATGAATCACATGAATCAGCACAAATATTTTGATTAATCTGTCCCAGCATCTAAATAAAACTAATCGAAATCTGGAGGAATAAGATTAATAACAATTAAATGCGACCAATGTAAGTATTTTTTTTCTAAGAAAATGTTAAAAATTCTTTGGAATGACATCTATTATACACACTAACAAAAGCATAATTAGGCAAAGAATTGTCGTACAACTTTGAGTTAATTACGCCCTCCTTTTTTAACGCGTAAGATTCTTATCAGAGTATAAGCCCCCAACCTTTTTCTAGGTCAAACTGACGCGCGCACACACACACACACACACATGCGTAGTGAACGTAGAAATCGGAGAAATGAGAATTCAAGGAGGGAGCACTAAGAGTAGATCAATTTTATCACGTCGTTCAGTCTATAAGCCGAGTGTGCCTTATAAGGGGGGGGGGCGCATTTTACAGAACTAATACCAGCTTCCAGGCTGCTTATTTGATGGTCTTAGAGATTCAACGCACAAGTAATGAGAGGTTCATCTGGGGAGGGGGGAGTGTTATGGTCTATACGAAAGGAGAACTGTAGAATAATTTCATAGAGGAAACAGCGAAAAGAACACAACATACGAATTGCGTTAAGACTTTCCAAGAGTAAAAAAAATATATAAGCCACATTAGAAACTTACCTGATACTGTAAGACAGTGTCATCTCCACAAACTTCAAGTACAGTAGGCGCCTGGTCGACAGTTATCTCCCAATCTAAGCGATACTGCACATCCCAGAAGGCCTCACACATCTCACGGGCAGTTACGTTGTGGACGGTATGCACAGCCTGAAAGAAAATTCCATGCTTTTGTAACCTCCTATTGCATCTAACTTTCTGCTAATCACATTTAGCCTTTTATATAATAATAGGATCACTTCCAACTCAACTCCTTTACAGAAAACAAAATTTAAAAATTAGGCATAGTTCAATTAACTAAAATTCATTGCGCTAACCCTTCCCATTGTAACAAATGATACCTAAAGTAATATAAATTAATAAAACACTCCCCATAAGCAGAGCAAGGCCACGAGAGGTGAAAATATTTCCGAGAGGATCACGTCTAAGTGTCAATAAACCAAGCCAGGTTAAATCTCCACTCCTTCCAGAGTTTAAGAACAACCTAGGAGAGACTAGCGTAAAAGTAAAAAATTGGGGTTAAATTAATGAGATAAATCAGCGAAGGTCTAATTTAAGCCCCTCCGTGAAATCATTGATTATACTGGTCAAAATAAAAGAAAATCTGAATAAACCAAAAGCATCCACAGCAACTGGCGAGCTTAAAAAACTCACAGACCCCGCTAAAAGTAAGAATTTATTCGAGAACTTACCTTCGCCTCCTAGAGCCCCTCTAATGAGTAAGTGGCATTAACAGAAATATTTGATTACACTACTCATTAAATGAGAGAAAGATCAGTGTGTAGAACCCACGCATAAATAATTGGTGACTATTCATGATACCCGAAAATAGTGACATTTCTAAAAATAAGTCTAATAAAGTAAAGCGGATCACAAGTTAGCTCGAAATTACCGAGACGCCCCCCTCCTCACTAAAAATGAGTTTCATTAGAGTAGTGCATCTTATATTAACTGTTCAAGATATCATCATCTAAATAAAAGTTACCTGCAAAGGATCAAGATATGTCCCATCGCTAGATTCCACCTCTCGATTGCAGATGATTATTTTACCCTGTTTGGCAAGGATAGTCCAACCATTGTTGACACTACCCACTTCACCGTTGAAGGAGGGGAATCCATTCCGTATGATACCAATACGATCCTCGCACACTTTGGCCACTTCGGAGTAGAGGGGATGGCTGGAGGGCATTGCATCTGCTGATCGTAGCTTGTCCCCCACCGATTTAAGGGCCATCAAACAGGCCTCATCCTCTGAAGTAGCAAGTAATATGACCGCAATATGAATTAGCCAAGAAGGGACAGTCTTGATGCGTATATCAGAATTTTGTTCCCATGGTTGAGAAGATAAATGCTCTCACGTTATGCTCCACAGCTTACAGCTTTTGTATTGAAACGACGACGTGAATAGGAATTATTTATTTCAGCGTTTATACCTAATAATGCACCAGTCTCCATTGTGGCTCTATTAGCATGGGTCAGACAGCCTAGTTTTGTGCGGGTATTGTGCTTAAGTGCTTTTGTATTTCACATAGAACCGAATTTCCTTCGGTCCTTCCTTCAGCAAAGCACTGCGCTGCACAATTTGCATTTATTTGACAGTGGTGCCGAAAAAATCAACTTATCAAATAAATTAGGATATTACGGACTCGGAATTATAAGGATAACAGGAAAATCATGGTAACGATTAAAATGCCATTCAGAATTCAAATAAAATAGGGTTCTTTTAGTGATAGAAAAACTATTCTACAGAAAAATCAACTCCATTACAATAACCATACAAACTAAATGTCGTATTTTTGAGTTAATGTGGCACACACACCCTTGCTAAGTTTATTAAATAGGTTTAGCATATTCAATTTTGTCCTAAGAGAGATACTAGGGCTAGTTAATTACACTAGAAAAGATACAACTAAGCCTGTTAAAAGGTGAACAGGTAGAGTAGGGGTAGTAACGGTGGTTAAAATACCAATAGACAATGAATGACAGAGGCCTGGCCTGGAAGTGCGAATCGATAAAGGAGTGATGGCTTTGCGGAACTCGGAAATTTTACATATGTGAAAGGGGAGGAAAGGCATTTGGTAAGACATTCTTACAAGCGTCATCCAAATTTCCGATCTGACACCATGATGCACTACCGATGAGACACAGCGAGTTGAGCAAGATTGACCCCCTTCCTCCTCATCCCCATACATTCAAATACACCTCATTTATCTGAACAGTTGGGACGCCGCATTACCAATGAGATGGGATCCTGCGAAACATATACCGGGTCATTTTAAGTGATTCCCGATAACATCAAAGTGAAGAGTAACGTTTATTATAAAATTGAATTAGTACCGATGCACTTCTCCACTGTCCTCATTACCACATGAAGTCCTTAGACTAAAAATCTACTATTCGCAATTAATTAAACTACAAAAAGGAGACATCAAAGTACAGAAAAGATCGCCCAAGGATATAGCATAAAAAAGGTGAATGCGCAAAGGAGACAACAAAATGAGATACAAAGATAATCTAAGCCTTGTTTGCTTACTCGCTAATCCCTTTACTCAAGTTGGTCGCGGGTGTAGCTAAAAAAAACTACACACACAATAGAATTACGTATGACTTTATGTATGTGTCAATCGATTTTAAGTGCATACAATAAGAAAATATTAGAGATCAATCGCCACACAATAACAAAATACAGACATCAGCAACTTCTTTACATACTTACGATGCAATTTATCAAGCTGTGCATCAATAGCATCGTAAAATCTCTCCTCATTTACTGTGTACCCAGATCCACCTTCTGCGAAATCCGGCCCTCCTTCCTCAACGATGAACATCTTTGTAATTCCTGCAGAAGTGCTAGGAACACCACACGAGGCTGTGTTACTCCCTTGAGCAGGAGCACCAACATGAGGAAAGAGTTGATTTCCAAAGAGAACCTGTTGACCTCCGTGGCTGTGACTACGTTGATGGGCCTTTCCAGGACCTAAACGAATTCCACGATTAGCTGGGTTGGAACGAGTGGCGGTGAGAGCCTCTTGAGTGAGTCTCAGTTGACGTTCCAAGTTACGACGTTTTTCTACCTCACGATCGTAGCGCCTTTGCCACGTATCCTCGCGATGGTTGAAGATTTCAATGGTCTGGTTTAGTGCTACTTGGAGGGCAGAAAAGGTGCTCTGAAATGAGAGGGAATGGTTAAATTAGGAAAAATTGTAAACAGTTCTAGAATTGCAAAACAGCGCAACACTTCAATGACTTATTGAAATATCTCACGTGAAAAAATGTAGGTAGTGAAGAGCACAAAAATTACACCAATAGTTTTAAAGGCCAGCATGCATGAAAGACGTAAGTGGTGAAATTTAGAGCCTTACCCCTTATCTAATAGTGGCGACATTTCAATCTCAATGGTCTTCATAAACCCAATTTTGTAGTTAAATGAGGATTAAGAGATTAGATGATAATTGTCACGCCACTAACTGCCTCATGAGTATTCAGAGATAAATTTAACGCCACACCCAAATCTAGCTTTACTAGAACAATCCTTTGGAATCGCTTTCCTATCAAAAATGTCAAAAGTTATGCATAAGCGTGTCACCACCACCACCACCACCAGGGTCTGAACTAATGTTGCTAGAGGGCTTGATAAGTGCCAATTCAGTACAAAGCTAACCAAAATCTCAAAATATATGAAGGCATTAGCGACAGTCAGTAGTCGCAATCAAAATAAATAATATTTCATATTCTTCGGGATCGAATTCTACCAACTTCACTTTCTTCTCTGTCAAATCCAGATATTATGGTCGATTCGGCAAAGAAATACGAAGAAATAAATATTACAATTTTTCGCTGAATCTTAGCAGGAGTGTGAAGTTTTCAAGACCGAATCCACCCACTGCCTTCAAAACAAATAAACTAAAATGGCAAATTATAAGTGAAGCAGTATGAGGATTCAGACAGCATACTCTGTTGCTGATACCGGGGCCCAGTTTTAGATATCTCAGTTCCAACGGCACATAAGCCTGCTCAGCTTAAGTGAAGTCTTATTTATATGGCATCTTACATTCAGTGCCTAAACTTATATTTTCTGAATTTGAAATGCGCATATAGAGGTGACTGGCATTTTATTAGACACAAAGACTTGCCCCACTTATTGGCAAATTCGAAATATCTTCAACTATATATAGTAGGCATTCACGCTTAAACAAATCTCGATATCATTCTAGCGAAATGAGGCAATATGAGAGTGGTTCAACGTCTATACCCCACATGAAAAGGAGGCTGAAATAGTTAATTAGAAGAGGAAGAACATGGGTATGACTGCTATATGGAATACTTCCAACTGAGGAGGTTCAATCTACTTGAAGTAGTTCAAACTAATACGAAGAGCATATGATGAATGCAAAGTGCACGATTGCATAGCAAAAGGGAAAAAGGGGGCGAAGACTGAATGCGGACTTCAATAGAGGGTACAGCAACTTCTTAATGTTTATGCTATTGGCATCTTCTACTCCTCCGCTCCGATTCCATCTCAATAAAAAAAGACTTGATACACGCCCACACACACACACACACACACAGAAAATGTCTCACAAGTCTTATCTCCTGTTATAAAAACTAATAGAAAAAAAAATGATTTTCGTCCGAAATTGAGTTATTCTCATAGAAGATAATAAAAAAGTACGTTCGAGAGATTGAAGATAGTGTCTATTTTTCCAAAAGAGAAGCGCGAGAGATGAAGTCAATGTAAATATTTATAGGTAGCTAACATTAAAAATTAATGAAAATCTACCAATAACAAATACAGTTAGTGCCATGATTGCAAAACAAGCCCATGAAAATTGTGACATTGAAGAACCTGAGGAAACCGACAATAGACAAATAGTTGTGCATTGTCAAAAGCGCTACAAAGAACAAACGAGAGCTCAGAGTTGAGTTCCTTGGAATACAACACTTTATTCGGGTTAGTTTTCAAACATGCACTTCTAAAGGCCAAGCAAGAGCAAATTACAATTATTCAAGAAAGTCTACACTAAGATTAGCACCATTAAGATTCTGGCCAATCTTTATTCTTACTGGGTGCGAATTGAACTCTAATATTGCGAACGATTCGAGAATTGAATAAATTTTTGCAGGAGTACATTCATGGATTGAAATAGAATTTTATTCAGTAGCAACTAGACTTCCTTCAAAAGCTATTATATCCTGCCAGATAAATAGCAGTGCGGTTTGAAGTCTGTTATTTATCCTTTTGTTATTCATAGAACTGCACCAGTTTAAGTAGGAAATAGAGCAATTGAGACACATCCCAAGTACCAAGTTTTAAACCAACACGGGCGCATAAAAAGAGATGCAGGAAAGGCAAATTGTTAAGACGTACCTTTAAGAGATCCACTTCCATGCCAAAATCGATAGAGAGAACACCAAAGTAGCTGAGTAAAACGCCAAAGTCGTGTATTCGTGACGCTTGCAATGGCATAGATTCAGGTGCACCCTTGGTCTAAGGGGTAAAATGGAAAAAGGAAGGACGAAGATGTGCATAACTCGAATTTTCGTTGTGATCTGAATGAATAGTACCATAGTTCACACATCGCACTTAATGACTGAGCGTGAGTATGCTTGAGGAGACAACACCAAATGCTCATATTCAAAATGAGGGTAAACTATGGTGATCTTTGACCACATGAAGTGTTGTAAGCGTTATTTTGGATTTTAGAACTCACTTAGGCATTTATGAAGAAATTTTTACACTGTTAAAAGGTTTAAAGGAGAGATGTGATGTCAAGGTAAACAGCACCGGCTTCGGCTTGATATTAGATTCTCCTATGTTTGGCCCAAAGAAGGGGTATGCGATAGACTTACCTCCACGTGGTGCATCCTGGGCAACGTATACTCATATGGCAAAAAAGTCAATCAACCGGCAGTTGATTTCAAACTACCATGACACCACTGTATCTCGTATTTCACCACTTTCACAGTACTCATCTTACCTTTTCTCTGCCTATGTGACTATCTTTCACTTTACATCTGTGAATCACTCTTCTTTCCCCCATCTCGAATTTTTCTCACTAGGGGTGTGCGAAAGACTTACCTCCACGTGGTGCATACTGGGCAACGTATACTCATACGGCAAAAAAGTCAATTAATTGGCAGTTGACTTCTCACTTCAAACTACCTCACTATATATCATATTCCACTACTTTCACAGTACTCACCTCATCTTTTTTCTACCTTTGTGTCTGTCTCTTTTACATCTTTGAAACACTCTTCTGTCCCAAATGGCAGTAGATAATGCTAATTGCTTACCGCAATACCA